ATTTACTGGTTGTCAAATGGAAGTTGCCGTTTCTTTCTACATTCCCCTCCTGCCCGTCTGTATTTGCGCTTAGAAAGTTCAAACAGTAATGTATAATTCCCACGCAATGAATAGCGAAATTTCTAAGCCCGGCTGTATGAATAAACGCCTCATTCACCTCTACCTAAACCTTGTGTCACCTGGCAAACAAACGGAACAGTTCTCCGTTGTGTACTCTGGTGCAGAGGGTACTGCGGATCATAATAAACTTATAGCCAACAGCAAATCTGATCTTTTTCTCTGAATGTAAGTTTCGCAAACTCAATGAACACCAACTTAACTAGTAGCGTGGTAAGCGTCCTGAGTAGCTTAAGTATGGAAAACTGTATTTATGATGTAAAGTGAGTTCTGAAGTGGCATATTTTTCTTATTGACAGACTTTCCGGATGATAAAGAGGAAATGAGCATCTGAATAAAGTGAGTTCGTGGAGAAGCCATTTAACGAGTGTCCAGTAATGCGCAGACATTGGCTGAATGGCACAAAATTGGCAAGCTCAAAAATTCAGCTAAAATATCAACCTCCAGTGTCACGGAGATGGTTTAGCTTGATGATAGTTTGACCACAATATACGGCTCTCAGCAAAAGACGTATTAAGAAAGTGACATGTTCGAGCTCATCCTCTGAGTTTGCCTTGACCTGTGACCATATTAGACTTAATTTCGAAGGGTCTTACTATACCCTATTAAAAATTGCCTCACAATCGTCACAACCTTTCCCCTCCTTAACACGACCTAACCTTCTTTCTAATCTTTTGAAAACTCCAATAATTAAAAAGCACATCGTAGGCGTAGAAGGAAATGTAGAGTAAATTAATCGGAAGTGTCTCGGTAGGCATTCTATTTACCATGTCATTCAAATCACGTTAATGATGAAATAACACTTATTAAGTTGAAAATATCAAGATAAATGGCGTTACATCTAAATAATTCTGATTATTGGGGAAAATTAACTTAGCTCTAATGTGTACAAAAGTCGCTACAATAATCGTAAAGAGAAAAGACTGAATTGAAAATATGCTAGAAATAAGCTATCTGCTAGGTGAACGTAAATATTTTCAAGAGACATGAACAGTACAAAATAAATTATTAAAAAATCGCACTGTATACGGCAAAGTGAGCAGAAATTTCTACCTGGATTAAGCTAAAATAATACGGGAACTCAATGGTGCTTTAAAGAGCAGTAAGTGTTTGGAGAATTCACTGGCTACGTGCGCGTTAGGAGTCCCTGGGCATTTGTGCCGCCGAAGACCTTCATGTTAAAACATCTTTCAGAAGTCGGTTAGGCTGTACGATCTCATATTCAACAGCTATATAGAACTTTGTTCAATTCGGATCATGACATTCGACAGAAAACTTTTAAACAGAACTGCGTCCGAAAATTTTTTAATCGGTAGAAAGATCCCCTAACGGCCATTCCTATAAGCCAGATTTTCTTTAAAATATATCTGCAGTCGTGCAGGAAAACCCAGGACCATGCAATGAAAAATAATTGGGGGACATAAGTACACGAGATCATGGACGTTTTAAAGACGCTTGCTCTCTCATTTATATTAATAATGACCCGATTCATACGATCCAATTCTTTTACATTTGCCGCTTGTATT